TAACACAAATCACAAGATTGCATTTTCATTCAACAGCCTGCAGGGGAGAAGAATCAGATTGTGACTAAAGCATGTGCCCGACAAAATGTCTGTTAACCTTGCATGGCACAGTCTTGCTGCCACCAGTAATCATGGGATGACTGGCAAGATTATACCACAGTGTCAGTTCACGCCAGTAATTTCTACAGATTTTGTTCATTAACAAATAACATGATGTGTTTTTAAATAATATGTTAAGATTTGGTGAAATCCTTTTCTAGTAAAATATTGAAGATCCCTAATTCTCTGTAATATTTTAAAGATTACATTAATTTTTTAGATGTTCATGAATAGAAACAGAAGTCATTTTCCCAAAGACACTTGAATTTCTAGGAAAATCACTATTTGCCAATTCTATTTGATGTGTAAAGGATTTTTTAAAGTCTGTTTCTTAAAACAAATAATTTTATTTGCAATGTTTTGGGCCCTGCTTTATGTGATCTATTTAGGTTGAAGAAATAAGGTAAATTATTATGAATTTTGTTATTTGCTTTGGACACAATGACACTTTTCTACTAATTGTGGCTCACGTTTATCCTTAAGAAAAGAATGCTTTAAAGTTGAAAATAACCATTAATTAATTTATATTATGACAATTGTGATTCCCAAGAAAATCATCTACCATTATCTATACATAATATCTGTAAATGAACAGTTAGTCTTTACATTATGGAATCAAAATGTTTATGATGATTTCATATATCCCTCAGTGTTACCCATGAAATTGCAAAACTGAGAGGATGAAACAATCAGGAGAAGATATCTTTCTTACCTTTCAAAATGAGTTTCAAAATGAGAATATGTTATACACTTAGTAAGTGATGAGAGATGGTATCATTACCTATATCATTTTACACAGTGTCCTAATTTTATATCTTTGTTATAAATCCTAAAAGCTGGAAAAAGCAATAATTTGTCACTTTTGGGCTTTTCTCAATTCATAAATTCCCTTGAAAAGCTGATCCCAATTGAAATGTTTCTGCACGTATCAAACAAAATATTTTGCTTCACAATCAATGTTTACTCATCCCAGAGCGACCGTATTCCCTTCCTGGTTTACAACTTTGCTAGCTCTGTAACTATTATTAGCACCCATTTTCACT